GTCAGTATCCCTCAGTCCCACACTGTCTCTGTATCCAGTCAGTATCCTTCAGTCCCACACTGTGTCCTGTATCCAGTCAGTATCTCTCAGTCCCACACTGCCTCTGTATCCAGTCAGTATCTCTCTGTCCCACACTGTCTCTGTATCCAGTCAGTATCGCTCAGTCCCACAAAAGTTGCTGGAAAAGTTCAGCACATCTGGCAGCATCTCTGAAGAAAAAGTCAGAGTTAACGTTTTGGGTCCGGTGACCCATCCTCAGAACTATTCGTTCAGTTTTCTCTCAGTCCCACGCTATGTCTGTATCCGGTCAGTATCTCGCAATCCCATGCAGTGTTACGCTTTTTTTTATCCCTGTTATCAGTCATTTCAGTTTGTGTAACAATAATAAAACAACTGATATATGACTAGCCACTAACTTCAATCAGAGTAACATAATTTTAATCACTGAAATCTCACTATAACCTCATAGTTAAGCACAGCCAATCCTGTGTAAATAATGCTGCCACTATAATTGGCCTTTCTAAATAAGTGCAAAACCACTCATTTTGAAACCAGCATGTCTCTCACAGGCCTTTTTGTGTTTTATCAATATGAGCTGTTACATTTCCGCCACTCACTTTTAAAGCTTTGTGCATTCGTTTTGCTCATTCTGCATCCTGCGTTGGGCATTTTTGTTCTAAAAATAAGGCTGTGCACCACTGGGTGTATGCAAAGGACTAGAATATTTTTGGGATGAGCAATGGTTCAATACTGAATGTCTTGACTCCTGCTCCATGGCTTTGCCCCCAAAAACAAAGCTTACCCTAGTGCCTTGAGAAAGGAATGCTCTTCTGGTTTACCAAGGTAGAAAGGCACTGGAGGAAGGTTATGTGATCCATAAACTCCAAAACAGACTCATTGGACCAAATGGTTTGTTTCCAAACTGTAATAATTCTACTTAACTCCTTCTTTCCCCCATTATTTCTTATTGTGCTGCCTTCTGCTGAAAGCACTGTCTGAGATGATACAGTCAGTGTGTGTAAGCTTTCCTACATGTGACTCCAGATAGATGGGCCCTGTCCAATCCTGTCCTCACCCAGCATCCACCCATGGTCACCCTAGTTTTTCCCTTCTTCTGTGGAATGTGGGCGTCGCTGGCTGGGCCAGTATTTACTGCCCGTCTCTTGTTGCCCTTGAGAAGGTGGTGATGAGCTGCCTTCTTGAATCGCTGCAATCCACCTGCTGTCGGTTGTCCCACAAAGCCCTTTAGGGACCGAATTCCAGTATTTAGACCCAGTGAAAGTGAAGGAATGGCAATATATTTCCAAGTCAGGATGGTGAAGCCACACTTCACCTGCACTTCCCAGAATCTAGTCTACTGTATTTGCTGCTCACAATGTGGTCTCCTCTACATTGGGGAAATGAAACGTAGACTAGGTGACCGCTTCACAGAACATCTACGTTCTGCTCACAAAAAAGATCCTGAACTGCCTGTTGCCTGCCACTTTAACGCACCACCCTGTTCCCTGGCCAACATCTCTGTCTCTGGCTTGCAGCAGTGTTCCAGCGAACCTCAAGACAAGCCGGAAGAACAACACCTCATTTTCCGCTTGGGGACCGTGCAGCCCTCCAGACTGAATATCGAGTTCAATAATTTTAGGATCTAAACTCTCCCATGTCCCCGTCCCCTAACCCACACACCAGGCTTTGCTACCACGTAGCCAGCCATTACACACCCCCTGTTGTTAGTCACTAACAGTCCTCATTAACAACTATTCACCCTCCCAGCCTGATCGTTAGCAATTCTTTGTCTGCCCAACTGCTCTTCTCTCTCTTTAGGCTCTATCCTATCATTTACTCCCTACCCAATCCCCCTCCCCTTTTTTCTGCATATAAACTGACATTTTCCCAGCCACCATCAGTTCTGAGGAAGGGTCACCGAACCCGAAACGTTAACGTTGACTTTTTCTTCACAGACGCTGCCAGACCTGCTGAGCTTTTCCAGCAACTTTGTTTTTGTTCCAGTATTCAACCATACTCCTGACTTGCACACTTGGATAGGCTTTGGGGAGTTAAGACCTAATGCCTTTGACCTAATGTGTGATAATTAGTATTTTAAAGTTGAGGTCACTATCTTTTCATTGTCTCCCTAGCTCTGGAAGGGCCAATTGCCCCCAGCAATAGAGTGACATTTCCTCCTGATTTCAGAAATGAACATGTCTGTCAATATCTCACTGGCAGCTAGCTAAGTGGGTTAGCAATTACCTTCTAATCAGACCCAGTCATAAAACAGCCCTGGCTAGTCAGTATGGCTGTGACTCTGAATGGAATTTTGTATCGATTTCTGCAGGAATGAATTACGTACCGTTTCCAACGTGGAAACAAGTCACTTTGCTCGACCTTTCTATGTTGGTTTATCCTCTACTTAAACAGGGATCAAAATCTCAGAGATAGTGGGAACTGCAGATGCTGGAGAATCTGAGATAACAAGGTGTAGAGCTGGATGAACACAGCAGGCCAAGCAGCATCAGAGGAGCAGGAAAGCTGACGTTTCGGGTCTGGACCCTTCTTCAGAAATCAAAATCCCATATGTTCCCAAACGACCCAAGTCTTCAACTTTTATCTTTAATCATTGACTTAGTCTCTGCTTTATTAGCAATGACAAAATATGAATTGAAGAAAGGTTTTCAAACCGACAGCTCACTGTTGCACATGTTAGGGAGAGCACACCCTGTCAAGGACATGATCATAGCTTCCTATTTTATCAGCGGGGAATGAATTCACCATCCTACCACGCCCTCCTCTGCATCATGCCCTCAAAGATAAATGGAGTAACATGAAAACAGAGAAGTGCTGGAGAAATTCAGCAGTTTGGCAGTATCTGTGGAGACAGAAGCAGGGTTAACGTTTCAAGTCCAATATGCCTCTCCTTCAGAACATCCACAGTATTTCGCTTTTAAATGAAGCTGCAGAGCAGAACCTAGATCTAACCTTTGATCCTGTATTATTCAGCCTTGACCTTTTGCTTTTCTGTTCACGATCCTGCCATAATCAGGGATCTTTAAGCTATCCATTGCATTTTCCTGGCAATCATAAGATACAGGAGCAGAATTAGGCCATTGAGCCCATCAAGTCTCCTCACCATTCGATTATCGCTGATACGTTTCTCACCCCATTCTCCTGTCTTCTCCCTGTAACCCTTGCTCCCCCTTACTAATCAGGAACCTGTGTATCTCTGTCTTAAATAGACTCAATGACTTGGCCTCCACAGCCCTCTGCAGCAATGAGTTCCACAGATTCACCACCCTGGCTGGAGAAATTCCTCCTCACCTCACTTCTGAAGGGCCATTCCATCACTCTGAGGCTGTGCCCTCAGGCCCTAGTCCCTCTTACTAGTGGAAATATATTCTCCCTTTCCTCTCTATCCAGGCCTCTCAGTATGCTGTAAGTTTCAATCAGATCCTTCCTCATCCTTCTAAACTCCATCTAGTACAGACCCAGAGTCCTCATATGACAAGTGCTTCATTCCCGGGATCATTCTTGTAAACCTCCTCTGGATCCCCTCCAATGCCAGCACATCCTTTAGATACAGGACCCAAAACGACACATAATATTCTAAATGCAATCTGACCAGTGCCTTATGCAGACTCAGCAGTACATCTCTGCTCTTGTATTCTAGCCCTCTTAAATGCCAACATTGCATTTGCCTTCCTAACTGCCAGCTAACCTGCATGATAATCTTGGGAGTCCTGAACTAGGACTCTCAAGTCCCTTTGTGCTTCAGTTTTCTGAAGCCTTTCCCAATTTATAAAAGAGTCTATCCTTTATTATTTCTACCAAAGTGTATAACGTCATACTTTCCCACACTGTATTCCATCTGCCACTTCTTTGCCAACTCTCCTAGCTTGTCCAAGTCCTTCTGCAGCCTCCCCGCTCCCTTAACATTATCTGTCCCTCCACCTATCTTTGTGTCATCTGCAAACTTAGCAACAATACCCTCAGTTCCTTCATCCAGATCATTAATGTATGATGTGAATAGTTGTGGTCCCAACATGGATTCTTGCGGAATTCCACTAGTCACTGGCTGCCATCCTGAAAAAGACCCTTTTATCCCTGCTCTCTGCCTTCTGCCAGTCAGCCAATCCCCTATCCATGCCAACACTTTGCCACTAACACCATGGGCTCTTAGCTTAATTACCGCCCTCCTGTACAGCATCTTGTCAAAGGCCTTCTGGAAATCCAAATAGACTACATCCACTGGCTCTCCTTTGTCTAACTTGCTCGTATTTCCTCAAAGAATTCCAATGGATTTGTCAAACAGGACCTCTCCTTGACGAAGCCGTGCTGACTCATCTGTGTTTTGCCATGCACTTCCAAATAGTCTGCAATCCCACCTATAATTATGGGCACTAAAATGTTATCAACAACTGAGGTTAGGCTAACCAGCCTATTGTTCCTGTCTTCTTCTTCCTCCCTCCCTTCTTAAACAGGGGTGTTACATGAGCCATTTTCCAGTCCTTTGGGACCCTCCCTGACTCCAGTGATTCCTGAAAGATCACCACCAATGCCTCCACAATCTCCTCAGCTATCTTCTTCAGAACTCTGGGGTGTATTCCATCTGGTCCGGGTGATTTATCCACCTTCAGACCTTTCAGCTTCCCCAGCACCATGTTCTTAGTGATGGACACTCCACTCACCTCTGTGCTCCAACTCTCTTGACATTCTCATTCCAAGTATGTCCAGCTTTTTCTCAACCTGTTTGCCACCACATCGTTAGTTGCGAGTTTCCAAGATCCTGTTCCATGTATTTGTGTGGCCACCCTTGACTCTGATGCTGCATTCCTGCCTATCAATCAGAAACTCACGACTACAAGCGCCATTCCATTGAGTTTACAACATAGCCCAACACTTCAATGAAAGACGGAGAGAGGGCTATGGTGGTGCCAACTTTCATCTAACGTGTTAAACCAAGTTCCTCCCTGCCCTTTCCAGTGTGTGTAAATATTTTTGAAGACTTTTCATTTATTTTGTTGCTGAATGTGTGGGAACTTGTTGCACACAAATTGCTGCATTTTATACAATTAAACAGGGATTGCATTTCAAAAGTACTTAATTGACATGTTCAGGCTGTTTCAATTGCTATACAAATGCAATTCTTACTTTATACAGAAAATTCCATCTTTTCTGCTTCCTCTTGGGAGACTTCTGACTTTCCATTCGTGGCTTTCAGTCATGCATTCAAAAATCCTTTCACATACATCAAGCAATTCTGCAGGCGTTCGAAGAGACTGGACCAAGTCCTTTTTGAATCTTTATTTCACTCTTTTTTTGAATGATTCCCAAAGTATTCATGCCCTGTTGAAAGTGAACTCCCAAAACAATAAAAGCAAAGGAGAATTTTCAGTTTAGGTGTAAAGTAGCATATCCTAGTTCTCGTTGCACAAGTTTTCTGCATTGATTTCATGCTTCAAGTTCACTAGCAACATTGCAAATTAGGCAGGTTAAGTTAGCGGCAACTTGGATGAGACCTTGCAGATGGTAGTGTTCCCATGTATCTCCTGCCTTTGTCCTTCTAGGGCTCAGAAAGTTATGTTAAAGAAGCCTTGGTGAGTTACTGAAGTGTAACTTGTAGATGCCACACCTTACTGTGACTGTGTGTTATTGGTAGAAGGAGTGAGTATTTAAGGTGATATATTAGAAATCCTACAGCGTGCAAGCAGGTCATTCAGCCCATCAGGTCCACTCACTCTTTGAAGAGCATCCCATCCAGACCCACCCCCATGCCCAATCCCTGTAACCTTGCAGTTTCCATGGCCAAGCCACCTAATCTGCAGATTCTTGGACTGTGGGAGGCATGAAGAAAATGTGCAAACTCCGCACAGACAGTCACCCGAGGGTGGAATTGAACCCGGGTCCCTGGAGCTATGACACACTAGTGCTAACCACTGAGTCTCTGTGCCACCAGTAGTTGAGGTCAATGAAGTAAGCTCTTTGCCCTCGATGGTCTTGAGCTGCTTGAATGTTTTTGGAGATGCACTCATCTCAGCAAATGGGGAGCATTCCATCACATTCCTGACTTGTATCTTGTAGATGGAACAAAGAACAATGAACAGTACAGCACAGTACAGGCCCTTCGGCCCACGATGTTGTGCTGAAATTTTACCCTAATCCTAAGGTCTATCTATCCTCCACCCCTACCTTATACTATCATCCACATGCCCATTTAATAGCCGCTTAAATGCCCCTAATGAGGCCGACTCCCCTACCCGCTCCGGCAATGCATTCCATGCCCCGACCACTCTCTGAGTGAAGAACCTAACTCTGATGTCTCCCCTATAGCTACCTCCACTCACTTTAAAACTATGCCTCCTCGTAATAGCTACCTCCACCCTAGGAAAAAGTCTCTGGCTGTCTACTCTATCTATACCTCTGATCATTTTGTACACATCTATCAAGTCACCTCTCATCCTTCGTCGTTCTAAAGAGAAAAGCCCTAGCTCTCTCAAACTTTCCTTGTAAGACCTTCCCTCCATTCCAGGTAACATCCTGGTAAATCTCCTCTGCACCTTTTCCAAATCTTCCATATCTTTCCTGTAATGAGGTGACCAGAATTGGACACAATACCCCAGATGTGGCCGAACCAGGCTTTTGTATAGCTGGAGCATAACTTCACGGCTCTTGAACTCAATCCCTCTATTAATGAAAGCTAACACACCATACGCCTTCTTAACAACTCTATCCACCTGGGTGGCAGCTTTCAGGGAACTGTGGACATGAACCCCAAGATCCCCCTGCTCCTCCACACTGCCAAGAATCTTTCCGTTAACCCTGCATTCTGATTTCAAGTTTTTCCTTCCAAAATGAATCACCCCTGCATCCTATCAATGTCCCTTTGTAACCTAGAACAGCCCTCCGCACTATCCACAACGCGACCCACCTTCGTATCATCCACGAATTTACTAATCCACCCTTCCACTCCTTCATCCAAATCATTTACAAAAATCACAAATAGAAGAGGACCCAGGACAGATCCTTCTGGTACACCACTCGTAACTGAGCACCATGTTGAGTATTTTCCGTCCACTACCACCCTTTGTCTTCTAAGGGTCAGCCAATTCTGAATCCAATCTGCCACATTTCCCCCTATCCCATGCCTTCTTACTTTCTGCATGAGCCTACCATGGGGAACCTTATCAAATGCCCTACTTAAATCCATGTATACCACATCCACTGCTCTACCTTCATCCACATGTTTGGTCACCTCTTCAAAGAATTCAGTAAGGTTTGTGAGGCATGATCTACCCCTCACAAATCCATGCTGACTATCACGAATAAAACTGTGCCTTTCCAAGTGATCATAAATCCTATTTCTCAGAGCCCTTTCCAATAATTTTCCCACCACTGATGTAAGACGAACTAACCTGTAATTTCTGGGGTTATCGTTATTCCGTTTTTTGAACAAGGGAATAACGTTTGCTTCTCTCCAATCTTCCGGCACTATACCTGTGGACAGTGAGGAAGAAAAGATCATCACCAAAGGCCCTGCGATCTCTTCCCTTGCTTCGCATAGAATCCTTGGATAAATCCCATCAGGCCAGGGGGACTTATCTATCTTCAACTTCCTCAGAATTCCTAGCACACCTTCCTTACTAACATCCACCTCCTCTAGCCTATCAGCCTGTTTCACACTCTCCTCCTCTGCAACTAGGTCCCTCTCAGTTGTGAATACCGAAGAAAAGGATTCATTAAGGACCTCTCCTATCTCTTTAGGCTCCGTGCACAAATTCCCTTTACAATCCTGGATCAGCCCTACCCTTTCTCTGGTCATTCTCTTATTCCTCACGTACGTGTGAAAAGCCTTGGAGTATTCCTTTATCCTATCTGCCAAGGTTTTCTCATGCCCCCTTATAGCTCTCCTAAGCCCTTTCTTCAGCTCTTTCCTGGATAACTTGTATCCCTCTAGAGCCTTTTCCGTTCCTTGTTTCCTAAACCTTACATAAGCATCCTTCTTCCTCTTAACCAGTCGTTCAAACTCTCTTGAGAACCAAGGCTCCCTCATTCAACTGCATCTTCCCTGCCTGCTAGGGACAAATATATTGAGCACATGCAGTATGCATTGCTTAAACAATCTCCACATTTCTATAGTGCTCTTCCCTGACAGCATCTATTCCCATTTTATGTTACCCAGTTCTTGCCTAATAGAATTATAATTACCCTTCCCCCAATTATAAACCTTACCCTGCTGTATGTACCTATGCTTTTCCATGACTATTGTAAAAGTAACAGAGTTATGATCGCTACCACCAAAATGCTCTCCTACCAACAGGTCTAACACTTGGCCCGGTTCATTGCCAAGCACCAAATCCAAAGTGGCCTCTCCTCATGTTGGTCTATCTACACACTGTGTCAGGAATCCTTCCTGAACGCATTGGACAAAATCCGCTCCATCTGAACTATTACGACTAAAAAGTTTCCAATCAATATTTGGAAAGTTGAAGCCACCCATGACTACAACCCTGTGACTTCTGCACCTTTCCAGTATCTGCCTCCCAATCCGCTCCTCCACTTCTTTGCTACTATTAGAGGGTCTGTAAAAAACCCCCAACAAAGTGACTGCTCCTTTCTTGTTCTGGACCTCAACCCAAACTGACTCTGCGGACATATCATTCTCGAACTGCCTTTCAGTAGCTGCTATACTAGCCCTGACTAGCAATGCCACTCCCCCGCCTCTTTTTCCACCCTCCCTATTTCTTTTAAAGCATCTAAATCCCGGAACTTCCAACAACCATTCCTATCCCTGAGTTACCCAAGTTTTTGCAATGGCCACAACATCGTAGTTCCAAGATGGGTTTGGAGAGTCAGGATGGTATTTCTAGCCTCAATTGCTGTTGTAGCCACTATGTTTATAAGGCTGGTCCAGCTCAGTTTCTGATCAATACCCATCGACCAAACTCCCCACCACTCCAGAGTGGCAATAGAAGATAATCCAGTAATCATGATACTATCGAAGATTATGATGGGGTGGTTGGACTCGTTGTTGCTGGAGATGGCTATTACCTTGCACAGTTGTTCTTTTTCCCCATCAAACACTTCCAGGACAGGTACTGCGCGGCGTTGCAAAGCCATCAGAAACTAGCCATCAGAATAGATGAACGTCAGCTAGCAACAAAATGACATGATGAACTTTCCTTCATATCAGTACACTCAGACAATGAAGGCCATCAGTTTAACTAGGACAAGGTAACCATAGTAGCCCAAGCCAAACATAGACACACACAGGAATTCCTAGAGGCATGGTTCTCCACCCATACTTCAATCAACAAACATATAGAATTGGACCCCATATACAAGCCCATACAGATCAAAACCGGAAATGTCAGTACTCACCATAACGGAACGGACAGTATAAATTCCAAGCAAAGTAGAACAACATCGCTTCCCCAGAGACCTCACTGATGATGTCACTGAGCATGGTGACGAAACGTCTGAACGAGAACAAGCCAGCTCGGCGAGCATGTCAACAACCTCACCCACAACCCGAGCTACAGATCTTTGCCAAAACTGTAAAGCTCCTCTACTCTTTTAAACTGGAAGTATAGTTCTCTCCACATTGTCCCCATCGAAAACTCCCAGGTCAAGTTCAACGCAGAGTTTGACACTGAGTAAAGTTCCTTCAAATCTTTTAAATGGAAAGAAAACTGAAAGTAAAGGTCTTTCTACACTGTCTCCATTAAACTCTCCCAGGATAGGGACAGCATAGGGGCTAACAGCAGAGTAAAGCTTTGTCTACACTGTCCCCATCAAACATCCCAAAGCAAGTACAGCATTGAGTTCAATACAAAGTAAAGCTTACTCTACATTTTTAAACAGAAAGTTAATGTCTCTTGACACTGTCTTCATCAAATGCTCCTAGGACAGGCACAGCACATAGTGAGTAATGCTCCATCTACTCTTTTAAACTGAAAGTAAAGCTCTCTCCAATTACACGGTTGTCTGTTTGCTACTTGTTCAGCATACTTTGATGCACGCAGGCACAGACTGCTTCGTGTGCATGGAGTTGTGAGCGGAATTGATCATTGTGCATCAAACAGTGAACATCCACATTTGTGAGAGAAAGTCATGTTGGGGCCTGATGTTTCTGCTGGCCTTGACCTCTAAGGTGGAAGAGGTGGCAGGTCGGGAAGGTGCTATCAAAGGAGCCTTGGAGGATATTTCCAGTGCATCTTGTGCACTTGCTGCCATTGTGCATTGATGACAGAAGGAGTGAATATTGGAGGTGTTAGATGGAGTGCCAATCAATGGGCCACTTTATCCTGGATGGTGTCAAGCTTCTTAAGTGTTGTTGGAGCTGTTCCCATCCAATCAAGTGCGGAGTATTCCATCACACTCCTGACTTGTGCCTTGTAGATGGAGACAGTCTCTGAGAGCTGAGTTAGTGGCCACAGAATTCCTAGTCTCTGACCACTTCTTATCGATATAGCATTTCTACAGCTAGTCAATACAGTGTGGAGCTGGAGGAACATAGCAGGTCAGGCAGCATCAGATGAGCAGGAAAGTCGACATTTTGGGTTTACACCCTTCATCAGGACTTTTCCTGCTCCTCTGATGCTGCCTGACCTGCTGTGTTCCTCCAACTCCACACTGTATTGACTCTGACTCCAGCATCTGCAGTTCTTTCTATTTCCATTTCTACAGCTAGTCCAGTTCAGCTTCTCCTCAATGGTAACCACAAGGATGTTGGTAGCGGCAGGTTATCGTTGACTTAAGTGTCACTTAATAACACAACAGACGAAAGCTTCCATCAGCTTGCTGAGGCGGTAATTGGCCAGGTAGGATGGTCCTGTGTTTTTGTACACAGGACATACACGGCCAATTTTCCACATTATTGGGACGATGCCAATGTTGTAACTGTACTAGGACAGCATGTTTAGGGACATAGCAGAGCAAGTCTTTGGTAATATTGCTGGAATATTGTCAAGGCCCATGGTCTTCACAGTGTCCAACATCTCCAACTGTTCCTTGATACCGTGTGGATTGCATTGGCTAAAGCCTGGAATCTGTAATATTCAGGACTTCAGGAGGAGGCTGAGACGGATCATCCACTCAGAACTTCTGGCTGAACATGGTTGACAGTAATTCTATCTTGTCTTTTGCTTTGATGTGAAAGGCTCCTCCATCACTGACGATTTGTGGAGCCTTCTCTTTTTAGTTGTTTAATTGTCCATGCTGTTCATGACTGCATATGGTAGGATTGCAGAATTTAGCTATGATCCATTGGGTTGTGGGATCCTTAGCTCTGTCTATTGCTGTTTAGCATGCAAGTAGTCCTGTGTTGTAGTTTGACCAGGTTAACATATCGTTTTGAGGTATGCCTGGTACTGCTCCTGACATGTCCACCTGTACTCCTCATTGAACCAGGTTTGATCACCGGGTCCTATGGCAATGGTAGAGTGGGGGACATACTGGGCCATTAGATTACAGATTCTGGTTAAATACAGTTCTGCTGATGACGATTGATAGCACTTCATTTGCAGTTTTAAGTTGCTAGATCTGTTAATAAGGAGGACTTTTTAGGATCAACAGGGCTGTGGGTAATATTATTGTTTCTGATGCTTGGTCAATGCTTCTGGTTTTATTCCTTTTCTTTAGGCTTTGTAGCAGTTTGATACAATTGAGAGGCTGCTATGGCTACAAGCAAAGTTCTATGGGTCTGGAATGGCATTTAGGCCATACCAGTGGCAGATTTTCATTTCTTAAGGTCATTTTAGGACCTGATGGTTTTTGATGACAATTGCTAGTGGTTTCATAATTACTATTAGACTAGTTTTTGATTTAGTCACAGAACTAAATTTACCATCTGACATACGAGATTTGAACCCACGCTTCACAATGCTTTAACATAGGTCTTTGGATTACCAGTCCAGTGACAATAGAATGAAGCCACCACCTCCCCAAAACATGACAAATGTGGAATGAAGGTGGTTGGCAGAAGACCTTGGAGGGAGGTTGGTGGAGGGGTTTGGGCAGCTGAGCTGAAATCTTCTTTTATTTGGAACGTTGTTGTAAGAAAACAAGGAAAAGAAGCAGGTGGAAGACATTTGGCGCCTCAAGCTTACCCTGCCTTTCAATGAGATCAGGGCTGATAAACCTCAGGTCTCAATTCCTATTTCATATCAATATTTCACAGCCTTCAAACTTGGGATGTTGAAGATGGATTCCTAACCTCACCCCAATATTCCATCCTTTGTGGAGGGTATGGGAGGGTTGCAGAAGGAGTGTGGGTTTAAAGACAGTTCCTAAGGCAGGCAGGTTTCTGGTTTTTGGGGAGCATGTTTTTAATACACGGTCCCTGAGGTAGGCAGTAGGATGTTTTGCATTTCTTGATATTTCAGTGATTTGCAGATGTTCCCTGGCTAGATCTGGGTGGTTTTGTGACATGTGGGGAAAGTGGCAGTTTGCAGATGCTGCCTGAGAACCGCAGTTTGCACTTTGCTGGGACTGTGGTGTTTTGATGATGCTCCTTCACTGGTACTCCTGTTTGTGCTTTGCTGGGAGGGTGGCGGTTTGAGAACTGTCCCTTGATGGGTATGGTCGGTGCTGTTTGCTCACTGCATTTGAGGGCAGCTGTTTGAGGATGCTTCCTGGCTGGGGCTTGCTGTTTGAGCTTTGCGGAGAGGGAGGCAGTTTAAGGGCACTCCCTGGTGGGTGCAGTTTGCTCTTTGCGGAGAGGGGTGGAGTTTGAGAACACTCCCTGACTGGGACCTGGGGTGGGGGGACTGTTTGCGCTTCGCGGAGAGGGTGGCGGTTGGAGGACGCTCCCTGGCTGGGACCTGGGGCAGTTGGCAGTTTGCGCTTTGCGGAGAGGGTGGCGGTTTGAGGACGCTCCCTGGCCGGGACTGTTTGCGCTTCGCGGAGAGGGTGGCGGTTTGAGGACGCTCCCTGGCCGGGGCCCGGCTTGGGTCAAATCAGTCCCGGCGTGCTGCGCGCTGCTAACGGCTACCGACCGAGAGAGAGAGGGATAGAGACAGAGAGAAGGATAGAGGGAGGGAGTGAGTGAGTGAGGAAATAAAGTGAGTGTGTTGGTGAAGATGGCCGAGGCCTTACCGCAGACTCCGAGCAGGCATGAGAAGAGCCTAGGACTCCTCACCACCAAGTTCGTGTCCCTGCTGCAGGAGGCCAAGGACGGGGTGCTCGACCTGAAAGTGGTGAGAGGGGGGGGGGGGGGGTAAACCGGGGGGGGGGGGGGGGGGATTCATCCCCCCCCCCGGGGTAAGGACCACCGGGAGACCGGCATCTCCGCCGGCTCCGGGAGAGGAATGAGGAGGGGTTTTTTTTTTGGGGGGGGGGGGGGGGGAAAAGGGGGGGGGGCAGCTAGAAACCCAAAACCCCCACCACCACCACCCCCCCCCCACAAACCGGAGACACCGGGGAGGCCGCGCGGCCCTGGGTCGGGTGGTGGGGGGGAGAGCACGTGCTCAACCTCCCGGTGCAGCGCGTCCGCTTCCACCTCACCCCCCCCCATATCACCCACATTGGTATCGTCCTACTCACCTATCCATCCCCCCCCCACATTCCCCACTGACCACTCCCCCCCACATATTCTCCCCCCCC